AAAAAATATAATAACATGAAAAAATAATTATAATACATACACGATAATAATTTTGTTTGATAGATTATTCTTTACAATATCATAAAATAGATAATAAGGTTATTTGATTTACAAATTAGGATAGATACAATGATTGCATTATTCGTACACATGAATCTTTGCGGATCGACAAAATAAATTTTACACAAACCAATAAGGGTCAAAGATCACCGAGCACATACTTTATTAAAGATATGATGGCGAGATTGGTGTTGGATTGTCGTTGAGTTATTGTTGTAGAGGTCTTTGTTGATTCAAGGATAAATTTGGAAATCGACAGAACGTCCCTTCTTTCTAAGTCACCTTTAGCATAGGCACCTTCTACCGAGAAACGCTCGATCTCTTGATGGTGGATTCTTTCGACTGCCATAGTAGGAAAAGCAATTTAACACAAACCTCTGACGCAAACGCATTACTCCTTAATTCTAATACTGTATACATATGAACTCAACGAAATTTTAATGTGAGGTCGTCCGCCGAATAAATTCGGCGAATGGCAAACGGGAAGTTGTTCGCCGAGGGAACCCTTGTCATGTCACAATCTTTATATAGACACCAGATTGATTATCGATATCACAATTCTTATCACACTCACTGGTTAGTACAATGAATTGACCTTGTAAGATTAATCGTTCTTGATGTTCGTACGTGCTTACCAGGAAAAAATATTGACTAGACAGAAATCGAAAAGATGCGTAGTAGGATGTGTGCGGATACGCAATCTTGATTACCGCATCGAGTTCAAACCATGTTTGCGGTAATTACGGGATCACCTGTTACGTTTGTTTCTTTATTTAGAGAAGCGAATCGATGTTACACGAAAGGAAGTTTGCAATCCATCAAAAGATTCGAAAAAGAAAAAAAAATAATAATAAAAATAAAAAACAAAAAACAAAAAAAAACGCCCGGGTTTCCTATTTACGTGCGGGAAGAAGGAAGGATGCGGAAGGTATGTGTAAACAAACGAGAACGAGAGACGGACAACCTATCTTTCCTCAATTGTTCGTCGCACCTCACCCGGCAGAGAAAGGTCGTACGTACCATGTCAGCGACATAAGGTTAGGTTATATAATATCCGTTATCTTTGTGATGCCAACTTAAATTATGTGTTCACACGTGACTATTCACATTAGGTAAACTTCTACGTGGGTATGTCTAATACGTGACACAGGATCTTGGCGATTTTTGTGCCGAATTCCCTTTTTTTTGGGCTTCGAAGGTGGGGGGACCCTTTCATATCGTATGATACACATGTACTTCGTTATACCGCGCTAAATACGTAAGTGGAACCTACGCACCACATTTTACAATGAGTAACGAAAGTATTGTGCGTAAAACCATTTGCGTATTGTTTGAGAACGATAAAAGTTATGGTTAAACACTGCACCACAAACAACACTCACCCACAATGGTCGCGTGATTCTGAATGTACTGGCGTAACGTGGATACGCATATTGTATAAAGATGTCATTTGAAATGACACCGGGGATCAAGGGATACCTGAAAAAAAAAAAACGGGAATATTCGTAAATGGAGTGACACAGTTAAAGATTGCATCTGATATCAGATTTGTTACGCACGCACCAACAAATGATGATTGGTTCTCTCAATCCCCTACCTCCTCTAAAAACTAGATCAATTTGAGGCTTTGTAAAAGTCTTCGTATAATAGTAATTTGAGGTTAATGAAAATAATGATTATATGTTTACTATAAATTCTTCAAGATCATAAGCAATGACATAATTTTTTTTTTATACTATATAATAAACAATAATAGAATAAACAAACTAGCGTAGAATAGAATAGAGTAAGGTGGAAGAGTGAGTAGTCAGAAACTGATGTCCGGGAATGAGAAAACAAACTTGTTGACTTTCTAGTTTGCGTGGACTAATCGTAGAATTAAACATTTTGTCGTAACCTTCCATTATGGAACAACAGTGGATAACTGGTTTCTTGCATCATTCCACTTCACTTTTTCACGGCGTGCGAATTTTATAATGGATATTTCCGGATCCCATATTACTTGATTTATTTTTGTTATACAAGATGTCGACCAGATTTTTGTGAAAAGAAGATTTTGGTTAGACGATGTGCTAATGTATACGTAACCTCGAATGAAACTGCAAGTATTTGTTGTTTGTGTGGTGTAATTTAAATAAAAAACATCATCTCATCATTGTGATAATATCGTAATTTTTAACTAACGGTTGAATGTATAATAGACGTTGATCGGCAGGGTGAAAAATTTGGTGATACCTTATTTTATAATGTATAATAAGAGTAACGAAATATGATTTTCAGTGTGCGTAACGTGCGCATGTATAACATAGGATAATTTAATGAATTTCCATTTATTCTTCAGCGTGGATGTCGTGTGGCGATTATATAAGACGGTTGATACTTGTGTATTATTAAATGGCGTAAATCGAGATGAAGCCAGGGTGTACTGGTGTATCCAGGCTTATGCATTTTGGGAAAAGGCATTTTTTGCGACGTGATAATTGCATATGTCGTCGTTATTTTCGAGAACGAGCTCGGGTGATCACTCTTGGTGATATGCATGCATGGTTAAAACGTGTGTCTTGTTTCCACTTGCGCCATCAAGCCCGAATGGAAGGATGAAAGGATTGTGTCGGTATTGTTTTTTTCATTGTCTCGTTGACCTCCGAGGCATCACGCCGTCGGTGGCGATCGTTGTGACAAATGAAGTGCGCAAATGACATAATTTTTGTGGCTGGTGACAAGAAATCAACGTATCACTTGATCACTGGTGATACGAGTGATACGAGTGTACTTGTACCCTTCCATGTGGTGTTCAATGGAAAAAATAAAAGACTTCTTTTTGTTGTTGTTTATAGTTCAGTGTCATTTGAAGGGCATCGACTTCTTTGTTCTTGTTGTGTTCCTTGAAAAAAAATAAAAAATTCGTGTAATCATGATACCATCATTTCCACAAATATGTATCCGCTCCAGATTTTCATTTTACTCGAAATCGCTGTATGTGTGAAGTTGGTCGTTAGCTTGTTATTGCCCCTATTTACCTCCTCGTTATCGTGTGTCACGTTACCTGCAATCTCTGAATAAATCGACGTTATGCGTGAGATGCGAAATTATCACACCTATAATTCCAAAAATAGCATGGTAAATCACATAAATCACATTGCGTTTCCAAGCAGAAACAACGAGATTACACAGGAACTTTATGTATTTTAAAGGTGCCCCGCCCAAAATTTCTATGTATTGTACAACCGTTTATATAAAACAATATAAAAAAAAAAATTGGCTATATAAAAATCTTCCCCCCTTTTTTTTTTTGCATCAAAAACGTTATAAATACACTTTCTTTGTTGGAATAAATTTTTCTCCAAAATTCTTTCGTGTAAAGTTTTTTTTTTTTTCGTGAGGTTATAAGTCTTGTACATAATATATAAAAAAAATATATTATATCATAAAAAAATTTTTTTTTTAAAAAATAAAATAAAAGCTCGACTTCTTTTCGGTATACACCCTTACACAACACACGCAGTTGACAATTTTGGCATTCGTTGTTCTTTACGAGATATCGAGAAAAAAAGCAAGACAACGAAAAGACACGCATATACTTACATACAATAAATAACTTGAGAAACAAATATAAACCCGAACGAACTTTGAATTGTGAAATTTTACCCACAACTGTTCAGACCTTAAACCGTAGAGGACGACAAACTTGCATATCTTTACTAACGTTCACAATGCTCGTCCCTAGACAAAACGCACTTTCGTCTGGCGACCTCATCACCTGTGAGCGAGTAAGTTGACTTTATTTTCCCATATCTATCTCTCCCTTCTTCCCAAGTTTTGACGACGATTCATTTCTTCCTTTCAGGCAATGCTCAAATTTCTCGACGGCAAACTGGGGGATAATGTTGGAATGGATCTTAAAGTATGGAACTGGTCGATACCAGAATTGTATGGCATCGTTTTAGGAATGATTGTCAAAATTGACCTTGCGGGTACTCTCAACATTCGGAAATCTGAAATGTTAGACTTCATCATCGACGTTGAGAAAGGCTACTGCAATACTCCATATCATTCATTCTATCATGCTGTCGACGTCGTTGCTGTGCTGTACTATATGCTCACCGACTTGGGCGCCGCAAAATACTTAACCCCGTTAGATTCTATTTGTCTACTTATAGCGGGTTTATGCCACGATATTGGTCATGTAAGTTTGTCGTTTCCCTCTTCTCTCGTGTTCTTCTTGCCACGTGGATCCTAACCACCCTACTTTTCTCTCTCTCTCTCTCTTAGCCTGGTTTGAACAATGTGTATCAGGTTAACGCACGAACAGAACTCGCTATCCGGTATAACGAACAATCAGTTCTGGAAAATTATTCTTGCACTCTTACCATGGAACTCTTAACAAAACATAAACTTTTCCGTCATGTGCACACTTGCAATGACGAGTATTTAGGCTGCGACCCCAAAGAGGTCGACACTGCATTGCGAAACTTGATCACCAAAACTATATTATCCACAGACATGACATTTCACTTTGATATATTGGAGTCTTTGCATAACATGATCGAAGCTTTCACTTCTTGCTCGTCTGATGAGTCGGGTGAAGAGATGGATAACAGTTGTAACTCATCTCCCGCTTCCTCGATCTCCTCTTCTCCCATTTCTTCTTCTCCCATATTCACTTCCCCAATTTCCTCTTCCCCTATTTCTTCCTCTCCGGAATCATCGCTGGTTTCTCCGATAGCGCAAAAAAGTTTTCCTGTCAAGACGAATAACAACAATATTCATCATCTTCAGATCAGATTACCAAGACCGTCAGCCATAGTGGTCACCTTAGATTCCGAACAACGTGAAATTTTGCTAAAGGTCTTAATACATGCCGCTGATCTTAGCAACACCGTTCGTCCGTGGAGCATCTCAAAACGTTGGTCGGATCTGGTCGTAGACGAATTCTTTCATCAAGGTGACCTCGAAAAAGAAAACAATCTTCCGGTGTCTCCAAATATGGACAGGGAACAAGTACATCAATGCCAGATCAGCCTTGGTTTTGGTGATTACGTGGTCAAACCTTATTTTGAAGCTTTCGCCTCTTTCTTACCCCAAGCCTCTATATTCCTGGACATCTTGGCCGAGAACCGTGTCCTGTGGGATAATATGAAGAACGCTCCGCCGCAACCAGCTCCGACATCCTATTTATTAGCCCCTCCCCCGACTCCAACCGCTCCGAAGGAACAACAACGTCGAGTCAGTTTGGCCGCCGGTCTCCTAATAATTCCTGATGATATTCAAGAAAAACTGCGGTTGATGTCTTCTCCACGTTCCCCAAGGCTACAACGAAAACTGAAACGTAGCTTGTCTGGTCGATCTTACAGTCACCATTCGTTATTGTCCGCTCGCCATGCCTCCTCGGCACCAGATGATGATGACGAGGATTACGGTGACGATGGATATAGGAGACCCACGCGTCGGAAATCCGAAAATCCGAATGCCAACGAAAATTCATCCTCGATCACAAACACCAACGTGATGATGGGTGGCACGCGTTCGGCATCCTATCATTACGGCAAAAAGGCGAACAATCAGCAACGAAGGTTAGGTGGCCGTGTGAGACGTAGTAGTTCATTGGACCACAACATGATTCGACAGATAACCGCCTTATACGGCACCGGCGACGCTCCTTCACCGTCCGATAAAGAGACCGTCGTGGCCGGAAGTTAAAGGCACCGTTGTCATTTGCATTGTTCATATCCACATAATTTTATATGTAATTACATTCATATACACAGTACATAGGTTATTGCATCATCTTTCACTCGTGTTAATAGCAACCCTCAATTTCCGTTTTCCTCAAAAAAAAAAAAAAGAAAATTATATATATACATACATATAGACTAGCACTTTTTTTTTTCTGGTAAAAAAAAAAAAAAAAAAAAAAATCTTTTTCAATTTTACCAATAGACTTTAAAAAATAAACCACACACATAGACAAACAAATTCAACTCATCTCTTCTCGTTCCGGTGGCAAATTCACCCAATCATCTCGCAATTCCAACCAAGGGCTGCGTTTTTTTTTAATGATTTTTTTTTTTTTTTCCTGTATATAAAATAATTATTTACATTTTCTTCATTAATGTATCATTTTTTTATGTCACGAAAAAAATGTTGATATAATAAAAATCTTGCGACACCGTAAGGATCCATGGTCCGCGTGTGACACATGCATTTTGCCACATATTAAATCACTTATATTAGTTTCTTAAAAAAAAAAGGGTTTTGGCTCGAAAGCAAGATTCAAGGTTTATTATTATTATTGTACATGTGGCATTAATTACATAGGAAGTTATAATGTAATATAGTACACGTGAGAATGAATTATGTATTCTTAAAAAGTTTTTGTAAAAAATATAAACGGAATTCTATTATATCCTTACATTTTTTTTTATTGAACCGGCTTGTGTTTCCATATTCTGTGTAAATTTAACGGGTTCTTTTTATTTTTTTTCGTATGGAAATTTATCATGTTTTTTAATGTAATGAATGATGATGGATGGATGGATGGATGCGAAGTGAAATTCACATTTAGTGCAAACATAATTCGACCAAATAAATCATCGATCATATAAATATCGTGCACGAGTTAAATTTTCTCTAAGATATTTTACACGATTTTCTTCACTCGGATGAGATCTAAAGGTGTCCACCTTCTCTTCATAGTCATTTTTTTCAAGTAGATCCGGTGAGTTCTTGATGAATGACATTAATTCCCATAATTCTACTGCCTTCGCAGGGTCATATCCAGCACGCGCCATGATCTCTTGGCCTAATAGATCGGCCTCACGTTCTAACTTTTGGGAATGTTTTTGTAGAAAGATTGATGGTTTGGAATCTTTATTACCACTGAACGTCAAATTACCAAGTATACTTGTTAATTTAGTTAATGCCTTGGTCATGAATGAAATTCCGTAAAACTCAGAGGCATGACTTTGAACAATGTGCGCTAATTCATGCGCCATCAAGGCCGCAAGTAGATCTTGATCATGTCCAATTATTCTAAACCAACACGTCGTTAATGTTATAACTGACGAAGGATA